AGGAGTCAGGTCTGCTAAGATAGCAACTGTGAAAGGCAAGCTGGGTAAGGCCCAGGAGCCATGGCTTATAGAGACTAAACTTGAGTTCAGATTTCATTAGAAGCAGCTCAGAAATATCTGTGTTGGCAGGGGCACACATTCAGATAAAAAGCCGGTGTTCTGTTAGCCAGGGCAGAGTAGTAATTGCCTGGCCAATGTCCTCTGTCCCTAGCACATTTTTACATCGATGGAATCACAGCCGAATCTCAACCAAAGCTGGTGCAGGGTCAACCACCAGGGCAAGTGCTGGGGGTGGAACAGGACTCTTGAGGACTCTGCTCTCACTTTTCATTAAAGTTCTTACCACACTCAGGATAGCGTTTCCATTTTCTTCAGTTCCTCAGTTTAGGGACTTCTTTCAGAAAAAAAGACTTCTTAAGCCCAGTGTTAGGTAAATAGAATGCCACTACCCAAACGCCATGAGCACTTAAGATTCTTCTTCAGGAGTCACACTGGAACGTCAAATGGACAAGGGTGTGGAATCCATGAAGACAATGTTTGTTTTAATTGTGGTAAGATATAGACAATTAACATTAAATTTACCCTTCAACCATTCTTAAGTGCAAAACTCAGCGGGGTTAAGTACAGACACATTGTTTGTGCAACCCTGAGCACTAACCATTTCCAGAACTTTTCATCATCCCAAACTGAAACTCGGTACCCATTAAACTGTGACTCCCCATTTTCCCTGCCCTCAGCCTCTGCTAACCACTATTCTACTCTGTCTCTAGGATTCGCCTATTCTCACTACCTTATCTGTGGAACCATACAATATTGTCCTTCTGTGTCTGGCTTCTTAACAAACTTAACAAAACACTTAAAATGTTTTCAAAGTTCATCCATGTTGTGGCATGTACTGGAATTTCCTTTATTTTTTGAGGATGAATATTCCATGAAGAAAACTTCTGACCAAACTTTCTCTAGAATGGAGTTAGATAAGAAGGGTTAACTCTAGTTTTTAGAACACTTAGTCGGGTACACTGTATTTTTAACTGATTTCTAAACAGTAGAATCCAAACCAATTAACCAGTACAGTTATTTAAATATAATACACACACCAGCAAATGAACCACAATTTCAAACACAAATGCAGATGGGTTCACACATCTTAGAAATAAATGTTTTAGGTATTAATTAATAGATTTTTTACAGTAAAACATAAGTGTCATAGATAAAAGTTCAAATAAATCCAGAGACGTTTAAATGTAAGCATCACAAAACTACTTCTAGTTACAAGATTTATGTGAGTTAGGATTACGGAAGTGGTACCTTAGGACTTTGGAGGGATAACTCATCCCAGATTGGCATGAGAGAAAAAAAAGTATAACTGACTTGTTCTAGAAGACATCAAATCTTTATTCTGATTTTGGTTACTGATTCAAGAATTACCAATATCTTTTTCAACTGAAAGTGCAATTGAAATGTGTCCACAGGTTTGCACAATTGAAATTTTTAAGTGTACAAATCTAAGATAAAAATTCAGTAACCTAACCATGATCAGAATTGCCTTCCCCAATATTGTTTAAAGCCACCTCTACATGACAGGAGTCTCCCACAATTGCTGGCACTGACATTTATATCCTAAGTAGGCACCACTGTTGCACAGGGTACTTTAGATTAGATATTGATCTAATTAAGCCCACATTTTACACATCCTTGGAATGTTCCCAGACAAAAATTCATAAAAAGCTGTCTGGTTACATATTTAAATTTTATTGCAAAATTTCTCAGAGAGCCTTTATTATGCTAACATTCATTGTGCCTTTCTTGGAGAGTACAGTATATGGTAGGTTCTCAACAGGTCTTGGAATATATATACTGTTGTCTAGGATATGTTTTGAGAAATGCTGGCTCTGCTAATAGGCTTGAGAGAAGCAATACAAATGGTGAATTTTTACATTGTACCTGGAGTTTAATGTTGAAAAACCGTGTGTTCTTCTGTAGGAAGGTGACTAGTGATTAAGAAGAGCACAGGCTTCAGGCAAAACAAAGCAAAATTGGATTCAAATCCCAGTTCTACCCCCTAATAGCCATCTAATACAGGTTATTTAACCTCAGTTGGTCTGTTTTCTGTCTACCTTAGTAAATTGAGCCAGGATTACAGAATATAATATCTAATTGTGTCCATTTAGGGTAGCCAGGAGACTAAAAAGACAACAAATATTTTATCAGAGATATTAATATAAAACATCATTAACTGTAAGGTGTTAAGAGGAACATCAGGGTATCTCAGAGGCAGCAACGCAGAAAGCAACTACCACTGACAGGGCTGGGGAAACAAAGAAGTTGAAAGTATAAAAATTTAGAAGTTTGGAAGAGGGGCCCCGCAGAGTTGAAACGCTGAGAGCTCTGAGGATGGGCTGCTGCTGCGCCGGGGCTGGTGTCCTGCGGTGGGTGGGGGTGAGGAAGCAGGTTGCAATCTGGATTCAACTGCTGCTCCTGGACTCAACCGCCACTGCCAAGGTGAAGTAGCGAGATCGGGTGGTGCTCGCAGGAACTGAAAAGCCACAGGAGACAGGAAGGAGCGAATCCCTTCTTCCTCCTATATTCCTGTCTCCTTCTGTGGCTCTCATTTGCAAAGCCTCACAGGGAGTCAGCTGGCAAAGCATTAAGTGGGGTTTGCAGAGTCCTAACCCTGCACCACCAAGCAGAGCATAGAAGGATAGAGCTGAAAGACAATAGCTTAATCGCTGGCACAAATACAAAGCATTTACAGCTTGGAAAGTGTATGATGGCTAGTGCTCCTCAGCCTAGCCTGACTGACTCAGTCCTGTACCTGGTATAGATTTGCAGAATTTCTGTAGGACCTAGCTATGAAAGGGACAGATGAGGCTGCAGGTCTGGAAGTTCAACTAACTAAATAAAACAAACAAGGTAGGCTTAACATCTCATCTCGAACTTAACAATGTCTAAAACTGAAACTCTTATAACCAGTGTTCACAGCAGCATTATTCCAATGGCCAAAAAGTAGACAACTGCCTATCAACTGATGAATGGGGAACACACGTGGTGTATCTATACAATAGAACATTATTGGGCAATAAAAAATAAAATATTGACTCATGCTTAAGCATGGATGAACCTTAAAAACATTAAGTGATATTTGTGATCAGTCACAAAAGGCCACATACTGTGTAATCCCATTTGTGATTCTACATGTGATTTCATTCCATGAAATGTCCAGAACAGGAAAATCTATGGAGACAGAGAGTAGATCAGTGGTTGCCTGCGGTTGAGGACTACGGTGCAGATTGCGAGTAACCACTCATGTGCACAAAATGTCTTTTTAAGGGCAATTGAAATATTCTCAAGTTGACTACCATGGTGGCTGAAAAATTTCTGAGTACATTAAAACTCCTGAAGGTACATTCTGAACAGGAAATTGTATGGTATGTAAACTGTATGTCCAGTAAGGTATTAAAAAGAAAAAAGACAAAACAAAAAAGGCCATGCAGATTTTGCCTTGTTCACTGGGACACTTGCTCTTGGAATCCTGAGCCCACATTTAAGAAACTGATCATCCCGAGACCACCAGGCTGTGACAAAGACCAAGCCACATGGAGAAGACACATGTTGTCCTAGCTCAGCCCAGCTTTTAAGTCATTCCAGCCCATGTACCAAATACATGAGTGAAGAAGCTTTCAGGATTTTTGCCCTCTGGCCTTTGAGTCAATTCCAGTAATTCAAGTGTTCCCAGCCTTATAAGGTCCCAGGGAGGCCCCACCCTGCCATATCCTGCCTCATTATCTGACCGCAGAATCTGTGAGCATTCTAAAGTGGCGGTTGTTTTATACCACTCTCTTTTGGGATGGTTTGCAAAAACCACTCTTCTGGTTTTCTTCCTACCTCAGTCTTCTCGGTCTACGGGTTTCCCCTCGAATCTCCCTGAATGTTGGAGCCTCCCGGCAGTCTGGGGACCGCTCCTATTCCTGTGCTCACTCCCTTGGTGACCTCACAGACTTAGGGCTTGAAGAACCACATTGATGACTCAAAATTTATAACTTCAGCCAGACCTCTCCCAGAACTTCAGATTACTGTATTCACCTGTTTCTTTGACAGCCCTACTTGGATTGTTGAAAAGTAGCAACTAATCTAGATAAATCAGATATTTTATCTAATATTCCATTCAAATGAAAATGTCACTATTGACTACTTATGGAAAATTCTGACCTAAGCCTCTCAGAGTCAGTTTACTTGTTTTTACTTGATTACCTACCAAATTCCTCATATTTATTATTACTGAGAGCGGAAAAAACAATTCCTCCAACTGTAGGTTGAGGAGCTAAGGGCAAATCATCTTTAAAAATTATGAAAACAATGGGTGAGTAGATAAACAAAACGCAGTATATGCATATAAAATGAAATACTATTCAGCCTCAGAAAGGAAGGAAATCCTGATACACACTACAGCATAAACCTCGAAAACATCATACTCAATGAAGTAAGCCAGGCACGAAAAGACAAATACTATGAGATTCCTTGTAAATGAGGTACCTAGAATAGGCAAGTTCATAAACACAGAACGTATAATGGTGGTTATCAGGGACTGAAGAAAGGGGGAATGGGGAGTTATTGTTTGATGGGTAGAGTTTCAGCTTGGGCTGATGAAAAAGTTCTGAAGACGGATACTGGTGATGGTTGTACAACAATGTAAATGTACTTAATGCCATTCAACTGTACACTTAAGAATGGTTAGAATGGTAAATTTTATGTTATGCATATTTTACTACAATAAAAAAAAGTTCTGAAAATGGAGTAAGATTACAGGTGGAATCAGAGAATGCGCCCAGGACCGTTCAGGTACTAGCCGATCTCTAAGGGAAGCAGGACGGCTAGAATGGCAGAAATGGTCTCTGAATATTCTCCACTTCATACCTCACAGGGAGGTCCTGCAACGAACGGTTAAAATGGGAGCTGACCACAGCAGGGCCTGCGGCTTCAGACTGTCCTGCTTCCAGGACCAGGGTTAGAACAGGGCCTTAGGAATTTCTGGGCAGTGGGGGTGGCTGTGTTTTAATAAGCTACCAATGCTCCTTTTAGGCACAAATACTTTGAGGCCAGGAGCCTATTCTGATTCTTTGCAGCCCAGACTCCCAAAGGGTACCTGGCACCTAGAAGGTATTTCTTACATAGTACTGAATGTAGCTATTCAGAGTTTGATTTGGTTTATAAGATGAAGAATAGGTAATGCTTTTTTGAGAGTGCTATATTTAATTAGAATGAAATGATATAATGTAAAAACACTGATACAAAGACATTATTCTTAATACAAGCAAGACCAAAAAAGCTTGAAAATCTCCCTGAATGTCACAATCTACTACGATCTAATTTCTTTGTGAGTGGAAGGTGATTTCCACCGAAGACACAGGACACTGATTTACCTTTTCCTTCGGGATGCAGCCTTTTGCCCATTAGGTCCCTCAACTCTCACGAGGCTATAACAAGGAATAAACACAGTAATTTACCACTCAGGAGGATATGGGGGTTTATTTAAAATAAAAACACACTAGAAAAAATAATTAGTTTCTTTTAGTGATTTTTCTGGCTCTTAAGTCCTTCCAGTTTTAGATGGATTTGCTGTGCAGGAGGAAATCTAAGGTAAGGCATTAAGATCTTCCCTGGTAGATCACAGTCTGCTAATCTAATCATATTTGACAGTAAATTTAATTATCCAAGAAATTTTATTATTCTTGTTTTATATATCTGCTTCCTATAAATGAGTATCATTCAAATCTATGATACACTAGTAACAATCAAGAACTGTATCTTACATTTATCATTTAAGAACCTATATTTAAAAATTAAGACTTGTGTATTATGTGACTATGATTATAAGGAAATTAGAAAACCAACAGGTGGATATTTATAAAAACTGGTATTTCAGGAAAGGACATAGAGTTAGAAGCCCTTTCCAACTCCTTTGTAAAGTGGGGAACATACAATTACGTAAAGAAGAATTCAGTTTTTTCCCATTTGCACTCTAGATTATGGCAAAAGGAAAAACATTCAGAAATCTTTAGACTTTTACTTCCTCAAATTTTAGATGGATTGCTTTTTGGAATTTTTCTAATTGATATTAGCTGATAAAAGGCCAAACATTTACATTCTTCTCAAGAGCTGAATACATTTTTATGTATTAGCACAGATGGTATTCCAGTATTTGCCATATGGAATAGGAAGGGATAATTAAATTTCATCATCCAGGTACCGTACAAATATGAAGTTAAAATAGGATTTTCACTAACAGTCAACACTGTAGATTCCATGTTATGACCGATTCCAAGAACACAAATTTCTGCATCTTCAGTAGAAATTACACTCTTCAGCTGTAAAAATATCTTCAAAGAGTTTTCAGTTTGTCTTTATCTTGCTCCTTACGACTGCAAAGTGCAAAAGATTCCTGAACAAACTGCCTGCACATAGGGCACTGCTGAAAGTACTTCACGCAGCCGTCACACAGGCACGTGTGTCTGCACGGCAGGAGCACCCAGTTCACAGTCCCGTTCTGGCAAACAACACAGTCCTTGATATTCTCCTCGGGAGGGTCTACTTCACTTTCAGAGAGTCCAGCCTTTTCCAACAAACTTTGGTCTGTGCCTTTTTCTTCGGGAGAGGAATTGCTGGAAGGAGTGGCATTGTTATTTGCAGACATGAAAAGTTGCTGAAAAATCAAAGAAACAAGTTTAAAGATAATTACAAATGACAATTACTCTTTAACCCTGGGGGTCAAAAGAGCTGCTCGAAATTTATGAGCTAGCAAATCCAACAGCAAACTTCCATGATAACTAACTGAAAAACATTATCCATTTATAAATGGTCATTCTTTGAAACTGCAAACAAAAGAGACAAAGATAAGACCACAGGGTACAACTTACCTTAAGATCATAAAATTGACCTTGAGGCAGGAGTAAATATTGATATAATATTCTACAGGATAGTTTATAAGTTTTATCAGGAATATGAATTATTGACACCATGGAAATCTAAAATAAAAATTGAATACCAGTCAGTACTTAGCCTCTTTAAATTATCTCACAGATACATGAAAATGTGTCTCAAATAAAAATAAGTTAATAAGTTATAAAACTTACAATAATTTACTTAAATTAGTCACTACAGAGGAACCAGTTATTGACATATTTTTGCCACAATTATTTTAATTATACTTATTTACAAATTTAATGTGACCCCCAACAAAAACACCATTAGGCTTTTTTATACATGAGTTGACTCTAAAATTCTCATGTGGGAAAAAAAAACATAAGAATAGATAGAAAAATACTGAAAGGAAGGCTATGGTAGGGGGATTAGCCCAGTCAGATATTAAAACAAACTACCGAGACTCTAAAATTAGAGCAGTGTGGTACTAGCACATGTATAGACAAATGGCTGAAACAGAATCAACAGTCCAGAAACAGACCCAATTATATATACAAATATGATAAAGGTGGCATCTCAAATCCCTGGGCAAAGAGAATCTTTTTAATGAAAGTATTAGGACAACTGAATAGTTACTTGGAAAAACAAAAAATTAGATTTATTCCTCATACTATACACAAAAATAAACTCCAAAAGCATAAGAAATCTAATTGTAAAAAATAAAACTATACAAGTAGTAGAAGAAAAAGTGTGCATTCCTTTTTAGTCTCAGTGCAGGGAAAGGCTTTCTAACTATAACTCACAACCAGAAGCAGATAAATTTGACTACATAAAAATTAAAAACTTGCATGACAAAAAGCACCATAAGCAAAGTTAAAAGATACATGGCAAACTGGAATAAAATATTCACAATGCATATCACAGACTGAGGGTTAATATTCCTAATTGATGAGCAACTTTTAAAAATTGAAGAAAAAGTGACCACATATCCCCTAGAAAAATGGGCAAAATACATGAATAGACAATTCACAAAAGATATAAACATGGTCTCAGACATATTAAGAGATATTCACTTTTACACACATGATAAATGCAAATCAAAAATTCACTGAGAAAAATTCATTTCTCACTCATCAGATTAACAAAAATTCAAAAGCCTATCAATACATTCTATGAAGTCATAATCATTCTCATGTTGCTGGTGGAAATGTGTACAAAGAAAAAAAAGAAGGTTCAACTCCAAAGGCACAACCCCAATAGAAGAGAATTTGGCAATTCGAAACAGATGACATGCACTTACCCTTCAACCATACAACCTCAACAATATTAAGGTACATATGCACAGGTTGTTGTAAAAAGATTATTTGTTAGTGCAGAAACTACCTGAATGTTCAAACACAGGAGATTAAATAAACGGTATGCGTACCCTACATACAATGGAGTGCTATGCAGCTTAAGACAAGACCAAACCAATGTGAGGAAGATCTCTATGAACTGGTCTAGGCTGATTTCTACGAGATACTGTGAAGTGAGAAAAGCAAGAATCTATATAGTATATACAGTATGCTGCCTTCAGTGTAGAAAAGAAGGGAAAATAAGAAAAAGAAAATATATCATCATTACAGTAAGAAACATAGGAAGGAGAAACCAGAAAATAATGAAAACAATGACCTTGGCTATCTACAGGGGTGGGGGTGTAAGAATGAGGGGAGGGGGGACAGGAAACAGCAACATCTGAGTGTGCAACTGAACGTAGTTTTTTGACTTTTGAGAGAAGTCATTCAAATAACTTATGAACACAGTATTTTACTATAAACCTTCAGTTTTGGGGAGGAGATGACAGTTTGAACACAGTATTAATTAAAATCAGCAATTAAACCACTAGGAAACATATAAACAAAAAATAAATGGTAGGTCTCTAACTTATAAACTTCTGAGGGCTGACTGGAGGGCAAAAATTGGAAAATAATCACTTTGCAACCAGCATAGTAAAGATAAAATCTGGTAAGAATCACCCATGGAAGTTCAATACAGGGGGAAATGTCGGTGAAGAGTGGGACGGACATACTTGCATGGTCTTAAAGTGCCTCCCTACAGACTGCCTATGATCTGCAAAGGAAGGAAAAAGGAAACAGTGGAGCAATCAGAGAGCACCTTGACTGAGAGATCAAAATTCATATCACCAGTGACAGAAAAGAACCTCGCCTGCCTCTGAAGGTGATGTTCTGTAAACGTACATCATCCATCACTTTGCGGGATACTGGCTGAAACTGCAGAGCTGCAATGTAATCATGATGAACTATCAAGAAAACAAAATAAGTGTGTTCTATTTTACAAGAAGGATGTGTGTGTGTGTGTGACTGTATTCTTCAAAAAATGCTAATGTCATAAAAGACCAAGAAAAGCTATGGAAATATTACAGATGAATGGAGGCTAATGAATGATACATGACAAATACAGTATCTAGACTAGAATCTGTACTGGAGGGGAAATGTTGTCAAGAATACTGTCAGATCAACTAATAAACTGGAATACGGGTAAAGATTGTATAAAATAAAATATTATATCAATGTTAGATTTATTAAGTTGATAATTATATTGTTATATATATATATATATATATATATATATGAGAACATCTCTGTTTTTAAGAACTACACATTGAAATATTTAGGAGTAAAAAATCATCATGCGTACAACTTACTTTTAACTCATTCACTTAAAAATGTATCTATACACACACACACACACACACACACACACATACCTACATATAAAGAAAATAATAATGAAAATGCACAATGTTAACAATTAGCAACAGGAGATCAAGGTAAAGGATGCATGGGTGTTCTTTTTTTTAAGTTTTGCAAGTTTTTGAAATTATGTCCAAATAAGTTTTTTTAAAAAACCCTACTATAGTTATAAACATACAATATTCTTTAAAGTTTTATAAGAATTTATTAATTTGGCAATGGTTTCAAAGGCTTTTATTACTAAATCAACTTTGTATTACTAATTGGTAAAAGATAGTAATGTTACCACCTCATACTAACAATCTTGTCACTTGATTTAATAGTAAAAGACTCTGAAGCTACTATAATGCTAGTTACAAACATATATGTAGTTGTAGATATATATTTTATATGGAAATGTTAATAATATAATAGTAAATGAAAGTGGGTTACAAAGAAATAGTGTGTACAAGTTGATCCCATTTTTGTTTAAAAGCTACATATACAAAGGTCTGGAAAGATACAGACAAATATTTAAAGTGGTTACCTTTGGATGATAGAATAAAAGTGATTATGCTTTTTTTCCTTATGGCTTATCTAGATTTTTTAATATTATTTCTGCCATAAACATGTATTGTTTGAGTAATACAAAAACAAAATAATATAATCATGTAAAAACGAAAACAATTTTCAAGTCAAAATCTTGCAGTAACAGTCCCTGCTTTCCTTTATCTACCTATAATAGCAAACTGGTTTCTAACTACACTATTTTAATGTATTTTTTTACTGTTACAATAGGAATGGCAGAGTTTAATTAGTTTGTTTTAGATTTAGAGTCTCTGACTCCAGATAAAATACTAAAAATTCCCATATGAAAAAGAATTATGAACTGCTCAATTTGCTTTTAAAATTAAGGACAGAGAACATTATTATAAAATATACTAATGATTATGCTTTAGTTCTGACGTTAGGCCCAATCTGAGAGATAAGAGACAAAGAAACAAGATTTAACAGGAAAAATGGGGGGAGGCTGCCGATAAAAGCCACAGAGAAGGATAAAGGCAGGGCGACACAGACAAAGAAAATGACTGTTGCCGCCTGAGAGCCAGGGACCAGGCCCCCCGGCGGGAGTAGGCCTCTCACAGCTACCGCAGGGCCCTGGGTCTCCGCTCCGGTTGGATTGGGGACCTGGTCGGCAACTCCTTCCCTATTTATGATGCCACTGAATTGCGGTACACTGAAAAGTGGTTAAAATGGTCCATTTTATGTTATATACATTTTACTATGCACATACCAAATCCTTCTCTGTTTATATGGAGGAAGAAAAGTTAGAAAACAAAGACCATCAGTATCTCAAGTGGACAGAAAGCACCAACCCAGTGAGGGGAAGCTGGGAAGGTGACTGAGAGCTGACCCTTTTGTCTGGAATAAAGGAAAGAAGTAGGGGAGCTCAGAAGAGATGGGGAACACATTGGTGAGAGAAGGGTTGCCTTGCCCAGGGCAGTACGGGTGTGAAATACCAACCTAAGGTTGGGGAGCAACCAGAAGATCTCATACCTACTTCCTCATGCACGTGCAACTAAGGAGCTTCGCTGTCGAGTTCTATGAGGCTCACTAATATTGCTTAGTATGACTGATTAAGTTTATTGAGTACCTACTGTGTTTCAGGCACTGTACTAGATTCTGAAAATACACTACTCTTGGTGCGTCTTTTATTGGGGGGGGGGGGGACAAGCTGACTTCCATTCAGTGGAACTTCAATTTGATAAGACTAAAAACTCTAAAATCTAGATTGACTTAACCACATATGAGCAGGGTCTGGATTTCCCAATAAGGGTCTCCATCTTCCAAAGCTCAATGCATGCTTGTTTTCAGGGAGATATTCCTGTTAAAAAAAAAAAGGGTGGGGGGTAATGGTACAGAACTACACAGGTTCATGGTCAAGCCCATCTCTTATTTCCTGAACGACTGAGACTTTATAAGAAGGATATTTGCTCTAATACACAGGGTTGTTGGAAGGGATAAATAAGTTAATGTTAGCGAATGCACTTTGTATGTTACAAAGTATCATAAAGATGTTATCATACCTTTATTAATAAACATATCTATATCATGCACTTCAGAAAAGTAGTAAATTGTGTACAAGGGCATTCTGCCATGATAGGATTTCACCAAAAGTTCATTTCCTGTATAAGCTTCTACATACTTGCTTGTCAGGGCTCAGGTCCTCTTAGATCTCTAAGATGCTTTTATCTTCCTAATTGGGATAAAATATCAGACTAAAGAAATAATTGGCATATAATGAGAAAAGTAATTATCACTATAATTACTGAAAACACAGAGACTAAACATGTATAAGATGCAGGTGCAACAGAAACTATGAGGGAAACAAGATGACTGTAAACATAAAAAAAAAAAAGAGTGGATACTGTTCTAACATTTTATATCACTATACCACTATAGATCTACTATTATACTATAGTATACTATACTACTACTATACTATACAGATGGTTTTAACGTAATTCAAATACAGAGGTAGGCAAAACTAGGTTTACAGTTGTGAGTCCATGAAAACAGAGTTTATACTTGTACTATTATCTATAAATTAATGTATTATTTACTTGTATTCAACTGTAAAACTACTTTTGACCCCACCATATAATGCAGCTTTTATTTTCTAAATATTCTAATAACCCATATTAAAACAAAGTCATACTCTGAAGGAGCTGTTACAGGTATAAAAAATCATACAGGTACACTTCCCAGGTATTCATCTTTTAAAAAAAATGTGTCCAGGCCAAATGTTTATCCTTAGAAATTAAATAAAACTTGTTCTATATCATCAAATAATTAAGAACCATTATCCAAGTCACTTAGCAGTAATGCTTCCAAAACTTTAAAATTACTTACAATATCATAAATTTCTCGGTCATCCTCATCAGCTAAGGTCAACAGTGCTACCAATGGATAGCGCGATCGGGGCACTGTGCCAAAGTCTTCAATTTTTGTATCTTTTGGTAACTGGCAATATATTTCTTCTTTGCTTTCCTTTTTAATACTTTTTGAAAATGTAAAGGTAAATTGTCACTATAGCCAGAAATGCAATAATATACCAACGGTGATTTGTAGCAACTTAGCAACACTTAACTTTATCCATAAAAAGTCTAACATCTAAAATTTTCATGTGCTACTGGATGTAAGATAAAAGGATACAAATATTGTTCTTGATAGAGATATTCGCTATATAAAGCATCTTCCAATGCTTGGGGAGTGCTTATTTGGAAGCAATAAATGTGCTTCTGCAGAGCCTCATATAATTTTTGAACACTGCACCCCCAATAGCATGTAAGGAGGCTATCTTCAAGGCAATCTGTTGTCAAAGTTATGCCAGCTGTAGAAAACAAACAAGAAGACAAAGAGAAGAAAATTACCTAATGTAATTTCTAATACAATTATACACAGTGAATAACAAAAGCTTCTTTTTGGATGTTGGCCAGGCTGCTGGCAGTTAAAGGAACTCATTAAAGGGTATGTGCTTATAAATGAAGGAACTGGTCTCTAAAACAGGAGATATAAAAACTTTAATGTCTACACAATTTTGAAGCACTACCAGTAAACTTTATTATTTATACATTTATGCTTGGCAATGATCAATTTAAATTTGGGGGTGACTTCAATGCTTTTCCCACATAGATTTTAAAAACAGAACTACAGTTCACTGTTGTTAACGTATGATTCTGTTAGTGTCTATAATCCTAACTGCAGGAAACAGTAGAGCTACTTCCAAAAGTAAATACCCTGTAACTACAAAACAGAACAGAGCTGTCTTAGAAAGTGGATACACACCACCCACGGGGCAACAAGAAATTCACTGGAGTAGGAAAAATATTTAAAAGAAACTGAACTTTACTAATATTAATATACATACTGACAACATTAATATACATTCTTGACAACTTTAACATACAGTCTTGTCACACAGTTAATGTCCCATGTAATATGCAAAACATCCTGAGGAAAGAGTGGGGATGCCGAAACAGGGAGGGTTTAATAGCGCTGTCCTCATTCACTCGCTTGCTTTCAGAGGAGTAAGATATTATAATTTGGGTGGAGCCGATTAAGCGGTTATATAAATTATAAGTAGACAAATTATATTATATAGTTTTACCTACTTATTTACACCTTGACTAGGTGCCCCCTATATGATGTTTGCCCCTTACTTGTGGCAGTTGTAGCGGCATCAAGCTCAAGGGGAGAAACATCCAGCGTCCCCCTGCCGCTGGCAGCGCAAGCCACAAGTGGCAGTGGTGTACTTGCTAAACCAGAAAGAAATGTTGTTGGTTATTGTGAGGCAGGACAGTAAGAAGCTAGGAAAATTCTTTCCCAGTGAAATGAGGGAAACTGAGACAAGATAGCTAAACAAGGCCGAGCAATTAGCAGCCTGCTAATTAATCGCAAGATCTTATCTTCCCTAACCAAAGACAGGAGCAGATGGTTTATACCTCTCCTCCCCAACCAGAGAGTGAGTAGCCTAAATCATTCTAGTCAGGAAAAGAGAGGACAGAGACCTAGTTGGTGCTATTAGTGCCAGCCAAACCGCAGAATGGATAAAATCAGGGGAATGAATAATAAAAAACCCAATTAGAGCCAGACAAATCCAAGATAAAAGTAAAGCAGTGAGGCTGACCAGAGAATGATCCCAAACTCCCCTATACACTCATTTTGATGCATCAGCACATTAAAGGACATACCTGGAGAGCTGCTGAATATTCTGTTGAGACCCTCTCTGAGACCTTGCCTAAAATTCCTGCCTTCAGAATACAGGTAAAACCCCTTAAGATAGAGGATCCAGTGTGTGCTCTTGCTTGAGCACGGCTATACCCACCTTTCCTCAGGCTTGTACTTTTACTTTTTCCTAAGTTCTAACAGTTTCCAGTAGACTTGCAACCAGGGGAGCAGCAGGCAGTGGTGACTCGTCTTGGGACAACCTCCTGAACCTGTCTCCAAGGGCCCTCCTTCCGCCTCTGTGACTTCCTTTCCTGAGTTCCACCCAACCCAGTGTGGCTCCCGTCTGTTACAGTAACTTGCTTCCTGAAGCCACACAGCCCAGTGTGGCTTGCTGTGACTTCCTTCCCTGAGTCTAGGCAGCCCAGTCCAGGCTTACTCCTGTTGCTGCGATCTTGACTCTTCCATCTTAAGCCTTTCCTTTGTTTCACTGTGCCCAGCTTTAATAAACATATTCTCAAAATCACTTGCATTCAAATCATGAAATATCTCCTACACAAAGTCAAGAATCCACACATTCCAGACTGTGCTAGGGCAGACCCACCTCGGTCCCGGCCCCTTTCCCGTGACGACTGTTCCTGGCTGAACAGCCTTGGTTTCTGATTCTGGCTTTCCAAACCTATTGGCAAGTCTGTAAGCAAACAGCTTTTTTACTGAAGTCATTTCTATTTCCTGCAAATAGATATTTCTGATTAATACATTACCTATTTTTTTCAAAGGTGATCAAGAGAATGTGTTGGAAGCAGGTACACAAACATAACCAGATGATCTACAGGATACCAAATATTGTACTATGTACAAATTCTCAGATTCTGCATATGGATAATAGCAGTGACATAAAACAGTTTCTCATCATAGTTAAGCAAAAATTTTAATTGACAGGAACTTTGCATTCATAATTGATAAAAATTTGATTTCACATTTTTATGACTCCAATCATCAGGTATTAATTTAAGAATGGAGAATTAGCTATTTTTTTCAATTAGCTGTTAAATAGCTGCAGAAAAACACTCCATTAATACAAATTTTAAAAATATAAATATTAAAAATCACACATACTTTTCTCTATGTCACTTTAGAACTACACATGAGGCAAGAAAAAAATTGGAAGTAAATGAGAAAGGGAAAAAAATTTAAAGCATACAAAAAAGTGAGAAAAGAAAAAAAGAACCCAGAAAATGATTACTTAATATTACTGTCAAAAAAATACATATGTATTAGGCTATTCATTGTAGCACTAGTTATATCAAAATGCTGGACTCCACACCTAAATGTCCATCAATAGGGGATTAACTTAATACAATAAGGAAATTTCTCCAATGAGTAAGTACCATGAAGCTCTTAAAAAAACTGAGACCTACCAAAATATAGTACTATACTTCAGAATGTACCTTAAATGAAAAAAGCAAGGTGTAGGAAAGTATACAGGGTGAGGCAAAAGTAGGTTTACAGTTGTGAGATATAAAACAGAGTTTATTCTTTTCTTTTTTTTTTTTGAAGATTTTACTTATTTATTTTTAGAGAGGGAAAGAGAGGGAGAGAAACATCAATGTGTGGTTGCATTTCATGCACCCCCTGCTGGGGACCTGGCCTGCAACCCAGGCATGTGCCCTACACTGGGAATCAAACCGGCGACCCTTTGGTTCGCAGGCCCGCGCTCAATCCACTGAGCCACACCAGCCAGGACGATTCTTGTATTGTTATTAATTATTGCATTCTTTTTCCATACAAACAACCGTAAACCTGCTTTTGCCCCACCTTGTACATAGTATGCTACTGTTTATCTCACAGGAGATTATATCCAAATATATGTGTTTGTTTACACTAGAAAAGAGCAATGGAAGGATAAGTCTTAAGAAAAATAAACTCAACTTACAGAACATATATAACTACCAGTCTATCTGTGTTGTAAAAAGAGTGAGAGTTCCAGAGATTCAGAGCTAAATAAAACTTGTTCACGGACTTTGTATACTTGACTAAAATGGTGAGTGTCAGCGACTACTAAAAACTGGGTATTAATCAGATTTTAATATAATGTCTCTGATATTAATATGATAAATGAAAAAACTAAAGAATCTATAAAACTCTGCTCTTCACAATCTTTCATAATCTGTTACATAGACAAAGAATATATTGATTTACACTAACTGATAATAGTTTAAATACCCCTCGGCAAAATGATTCTCCCTTGAGTTTTTATCACTTCTGCAAAGATCCTTATGCTCAATTCTCATTCTTATATTTTTTTAGTCTTCTAAAATTCAGTGTACATGCAATGACACCTTAGATCAACAACATTAACAGAACTGGAATATAAACATAACTCAGAAAACTCACAATTCAAATGAAGTGACACAGCATGGGTATGATTTCTCTCAACCTGCCCTTACCTGCTTACCTGTACCAGCCAAATAAAGTGTAAGAGACAGCCTAGCAAAAAACTGAAAAAAAAGGGACTATAGTCAAATGAGTTGAGCCATTAAAAAAAAAAAAGAGAACAATGAGGCAGAAAAGTTACAAACCTTCTTACAAAAAAAAAATTTCTGTGAGAGAAGTAATATACATGGAGACCATGCATGGGAATAGTAAAACCAGAATATTGGGAGATGAAAACCTTAAGCTGTAATGAATAGAGGTTCAAATCCCTCCGAAAATGCGGTGTGCCATTTTGCGTAACGCTTCTGTTCATGTTAGCTTTTCCCAGGGTGAATAAGTCTAAATACAAGGAAGCTGTTCACAGAAGGACAGCAGAATTCCTGACCTGAATTAATACAACTCAACTAATCCACTTTCATTTCATTAAAACCTACATCGGGGACATGGAAACATCATAAATCTGAACACAGTCTCATTACATAACAACAAAAATCCCCCAAACCCACCCCTAGTAAACAGAACTAAATGACAAAGATTAAAATTGATTTTCCGGTTTATTTTCAAGTAAATTAGGCTCTAGATAGAAGTTCTTCTTCCCTCCTTATGTGGCAGGCAGCTTGGATAGAACAATTTAAAAAAAACACAAACCAAAAACCTGAATTTTAACACTATCTATACATCAAATGAAATATGTTTTTAAAATGTCACAATTATTGCTCAGAGTATCATTTCAATATTCTGGGTAGACATCTTTATACCCACTGTTCCACAGTTTAAACAAATGAATTTTATTCTGCTGAGTACAATTCCCACCAAAATCCTTATTTCCCCATAAAAGACAGATAACGAATGATGATATGCATTTGGTATTTAAAAATTAAAATACTTCAATAAGCACACTATAAGTCCACACATTTACAATTTTTTTCATGTACTTCAGTAATGCTACTGTTGGTTAGCATCTAGGGTGTTGGGCATAGCTGCAAAGTCTTCTACTTAGTGGGTATCTTTTCATTTGCTTCTAACATTTACAGGGCAGGCTCTATTTAAACTATTTCTGTCTTAAAAGCAGATTAATGGATTTCCTGACACTTTCTAGCTGACAAATGACCTGTGTTTGTTTGCTCACAATGCATCAGTTCTTAATTTCTTCAGTGGCTCTAGGCCTGTGGGCCTGGGTTATATACTAAGAACCACTTTGTGCTAGTGGAATTTTTTTTTTAAGACAAGAGAGGAAGGGTGGGGGGCAAAGAGAGAAACACTGATTTGTTGTACCACTTATTTACGCATTACTGGTTGATTCTTGTATGTGCCCTGCCAGAGGACTGAACCTACAACCTTGGAGTATTGGGATGACCCTCTAACCAGCTGAGCTACCTACCAGGGCCTGAACTAGTGGAATTTTTTACTGGCAGTCCTGTTCAAGAGCCAGATGTACTATAGCAGGTCCAAGTGCATGGCCACAAAGGTCAGAGGTAACACAATCACCACTATTCTGTACCACTATTCTGTACCTTTTATTCAACATGTTTTCTAAATAAATTAGTTTTCCCTGTCATATCGCAAAATTTGATTTTCCAAATTTTTGGTAAAAAATATGATGGAATGAACTCCTTATCTACCATTAGGGGAAAAAAAGGTCCTTTGTTCAATTCATAGAGGTTTTGTGTATGTGTGTGTGTGTGTGTGTATATATACACATACATATATACATATATACATGCAAACACAGTATAGTATTTATAGTTAAGAAGATTAAGAAATTTTCTATTTTTTTCATTGTCAGTCAACTTAAGGTTGATAATCCTTATTGACTAGTACACTCATTTTTGACAACTGACTCTGGAAGTTAGAGGCAGGGAGATGACAAGAAAGTTCACAGAGGATAAGGGAGCAGGATGTCAAGAAGAAAGGACTGGGTAACTGTTAAACACTGCAGAGAGAGCACTAACTCGGACCTGGAAAGAGTCCAGTAAACTTTATGACTGCTGGGGGCCGGAGGTGTGGGGCAGACGTGCTAATTAGTGACCTTGGAGAAAGCCACTTCAATGGAGGGATACGAGGTCTTTCTGGAAAAAGTCCCACCACTGTCAATATAATGAGAATGGTTTGTGCGACATTAATGTAACCTGGGAGCCAAGGAGAGTGGGCTGGAATGTGCATGTTTGAACAATGAAAACTTCATTGTACTAGTCAGTAGGGATGGTAGACACCATTGAGTGACCAGGTGCATTCTGTGGAGGTCATTCAAAATGACTGAACGAGTAGAGCAATGAATCTGCATTAAAATTTGCATTAAGCTTCAACACTCCTCTGCATAAATTATTCAGATGATTCAGAAGGCCATGGCTATGGGCAACTGGTGACTGGCAGCTTCATCACAACCACGCACCTGCCCATGTATCATGTCTCGTGCAGCGTTTTTTGGCAAAACATCAAATCACCCAGGTGACTCAGCCCCACTACAGCCCAGATTTGGTGCCCGTAACCTCTGGCTTTTCCCAAAACTAAAATCACCTTTGAAAGGGAAGACATTTCAGACCATTGAAGAGATTCAGGAAAATACAACAGGGCAGCTGATGGCAATTGAGAGAACTGTGTGAGGCCCCAAGGTGCCTACTTTGAATGGAAGTGAGGCATCATTGTCCTATGTAATGTTTCTTGGATCTTGTTTAATAAATGTCTGTTTTTCATAAAGCATGGCTGGATACTTTCTGGACAGACCTCGTATAGGTAAAAATCAGATTACACTGCTTTCAGGAGTAAAAGGAAAGCAGACTAAGAGAAGAAGGCAAATGCAAACCACTTTTAAGAAATCTGGCTTTGAAGAGAGAAAGAGAAATAGGAGAGTAGCTAGAATAAGAAGAAAAGTTGAGAAAGCTTTGGGTTGTTTGTTTTTAGATACCAAAAATGTGAGCAAGTATAAAAGGTGATAGAATCTCAGCCAAGAAAACCTTGTAGAGCTAAAGAATAGTATCTAGAACTACCCATTCTTCTTTTTCTTAGTTTTCCTTTCTGATAGTTCGTTATTGATGTATAAAATACCATTGATTTCTGGATATTAATTTTTGTATCCTGCTACTTTACTGAATTCATTTATCAGTTGTAGTAGTTTTTGGTGGAATCTTTAGGGGTCTCTATATACAGTAAAATGTCATCTGCAAATAAAGAAAATTTTACTTTTTCCTTACCAATTAGATGTCTTTTATTTCTTCTTCTTATCTGATTGTTGTGGCTAGTATTTCCAGTACTATGTTGAATAAGAGTGGTGAAAGCACACATCCCTGTCTTGTTCACAATTTTAGGAGAAATACTTTTTTGTCCATTGAGTATGACATTGGCTGCGGGTTTGTCATATATGGCCTTTATTACATTGAGGTACGTTTTCTCTATTCCCACTTTGTGGAGAGTTTTTATCATAATTGAGAGCAGGATTTTATCAAATGCTTTTTCTGCATCTATTGATGTGATCATGTGATTTTTATCCTTCATTTTTTTACTATGGTATACCATGTATATTGATTTGCAGATACTGTACTACCCTTGCATCTCAGAATAAATCCCACTTGATCATGGTGTAAGATCTTTTTGATGCATTGCTGGATCCAGTTTGCTAATATTTTGTTGAGGATTTTAGCATCTATGTTTATCAAGTATATTGGCCTATAATTTTCTTTGTAGTATCTTTATCTAGTTTTGTAATTAGGATAATGCTGTCCTTATCAAGTGAGTTTGGGAATCTTCCCTTACTCTTGAATTTTTTTGGAATAGTTTGGAAAGGATAGGTGTCAGTTCTTTGAATGTTTGGTAAAGTTCACCTGTGAAGCCATTACATAAAGAACTTTGTTGGGAATTCTTTGATTACTGCTTCAATTTCATTAGTTGTAATCTGTCTATTCATATTTTCTTATGGTTCCTGAATCAGTTTTGAAAGACTGCATGTTTCTAGGAATTTATCCATATTGTCCAGATTGTCCAGTTTTTTTTGCCATAGTTGTTCCTAATATTTTCTTACAATGCTTTGTACTTCTTTTCTTTTATTCTCTTTTGCATATTGTTTTAAATTTCTTTTTATTGTTCAAATACATTTGTCTCCATTTTCCCTCCACCACTTTCCCCTGTCTAGAACTACCTATTCTCTATCTCTACTGAACTGCCACAAAAGCATTTACAAGTCCAAAAGTTCCAAACTGAATTCATTACCTTCCTTCCAAAACCTGCTGTTCCTCCTATTTCCTTATCTCTGTAAAAGGACCTGCCTATGAAGGACCCAAGCAAAGAATTTGAGTGATCCTCGACTTTTCTATCTTACCTGTTCCTAGCCCTGGCCCTTCTCTTTCATTCCACTGATTCCTAGATAGTCTTGCAAACAATTTATTTCCAAGTACAGAAACAACTACGATCTATTACTACCATCTACTAAGATAATTTTATACCAAAATACCAAAATTTCAGATTTTAAGACAGCTGTTCTCCAGGCTAGCCACCTTACATTAACTGTATTTACATCACACCATTATTACACTGAAGACCAATGGAAATGGCACAGTGCGTTAACAAACTTTTCTTATTAACACCTGAGATACTTTATTTTTCTCAAATGCCTCTGCTTGCTAGTTGGTAAGTTCCTTAGGAGCAAAGACTGTGAATTATTAATCTTTGTATCTGAGTATTTAGTACAGCTCCTGGAACAAAACAGGTACTCAATAAATGTATGTTATGGCTAATGAAGAGAAAGCAATAGAGAAAGAAAATTAAAAGGCTAAAAAGGGGGATAGAAAAATCTTTAGAAAACAGCCACCAACTTGTAATTGAAGCTGAAGATGGGTTAGAGATCTCTAAGCCAAAAGGATTCTTGACTTGTCTCATTTGCTTTTTGAAAACTCTTGTGTTGAACTGGGTCTCTTCTGAATTTCTGAGAATTACTGGAACATCCCAACCAAACCTGAAGAAAGGTAAAAATAAATTAATATATAATCTTAACAAATGCTGAAATTTTGTTGTATGTAGAATATGTGCTTCATTAGTTAATCCTTTTAATGTAAGTATCAGAAAAAGAGATTAAGTTACTCAATATACATTTTATATTAGAGAATTAATCCGGAAATAAGAGAGATTAGAGGTCCCATAGAATTGCAATATATTGTTCAGTTGGCTGAATCAACATACTCTTGAAACAACGTTCTACTGTTAACACAAAAGAGTATACTGGTTATAAATTGTACCTATTGTAACAGCAAAAACATGACAGAATTGTTAAATTTTTATAATGATATAAAAAATATATATTTAATATGCAGACTATTTGATATTATTTATAGGACAAGATAACTTTTAAACACCAAATATAGCTCTTCATTTATATTGCATTTCTTTTACATTTCATGTAAAAATGTGATAATGCATACTGAACAGACTTAGAAGGAAAAATAAAAGGGACTAAATTCAATTCTTTTAAAAATATTTTATTTATTGATTTTAGAAAGAGAGACAGGGAGAGAGAGAGAAACAGAAATTTGTTGTGCCACTTATTTATGCATTAAATGTTTGGTTCTTGTATGTGTCCCGACTGGGGATCAAAACAGCAACCTTAGAGTATCGGGACAACACTCTTAACCAACTGCGCTATCTGACCAGGGCTCACTAAATTCAATTCCTTATAAAATAAGAAAGCAGCTAGGTTTACTCAATTTAAATAAAATAACTGAAAGTGAATATACATTAATTTACCCAAGGGACTTTGGGTTAAGCTGGCAGTTAGATTCGTATTTGGATGTACTCTCTTCTCTCCAAACACTTACTAGTGAGAGATAAAAATAAAAAGACGAATCAAAAAAGACCCACTGAGCCCTGAATGGCATGGCTCTCAGTTGGTTTGGCGCCCTCCCACAAAGCATAGGTCACAGGTTCGATTGCCAGTCAGGGCATATGCCGGGGTTATGGGCCTGGTTCCCAGTTGGGGCACATGTGAGAGGCAACCAATTGATGTTTCTCTCTCACAGTGACGTTTCTCTCTCTCTCTTTCTCCCTCCCTTCCCCGCTCTTTAAATAAAATCTTAAAAAAGAAGATCCTGCTGAAATGAGTAAACAAACTGTGGTGTATGTAAACAAAGGAATGGAAGAAAACAGCTATGAAAAGGAAGAAATTATTGCTACAACCACATGGTTAAATCTCAAAAACAACGTGCTGTGCAGAAGAAACCTGACACAAATGAGTACATGCTGGTTCCATAATATGAAACTTGAGAGCAGGCAAAAGTCATCTACAGTCAAAATAAAAAGCAGAACAATGGTTCCTTCTGGGGCATAGAGTATAGACCGACTGGGAAAGGGCATATGGGAACTTTCTCTGGGGATGGTAATATTCTATATCTTCCTAGGGTTTGAGCTGTATAGATGATATGTTTGATAACACTTAAGATTTGTACACTACATTGTATGTAAATTATACTTCAAAAGAAATACTATAAACAAAAACAAATACTGAACTCTATGCAATGCTTTTGGGTAAGGAATACAAGTTACTTTGAAATGATCAACAAAAAAGATGGACTGGTGGGTAGCTGAAAGGATGGATGGATCAGGACAAATATGTAATAAAGACATTATAACAAAAACGATTATATAGAACCTAAGTGATAGGCACGTGTGTATTTACTGTATAATTCTTTCATTGTACGTATGGTATGTTTGAAAAATTTAATACTAAAATGTTGGAAAGAAGAGACATAGTTGGGCTCAAAGACATCTTTATGAATCTGAAAAAGGTAAAACATATAAAGTAACGCATAAGGCTTACATTATAACTTGACAGGTTCTGAATCTGGCAGTAGCCAGTGGCAATAAGCTTTCACACAGTAAGAAAGCCTTAGGGGTTGTCCACTCAAGACAAGGGCCAGGGCCAGGTTCATAACTCGAATCCAGGAGCTGGGTTAGGCCAATATCAATGTGGGACAGAACTGTCACTATAAGCCCTGGTCCTTGACCAGGGAGCAGGGGGTTGTCTAGAAATCTGGGTGGAGGCAACTGCAAAATGGTTAAAAAGCAAGGAGGGGAACAAAGGGAGGGGGAAAACTTCCACTAAAATTTAGTCTGCAAACTAAAATTTCAAAACAACATGAACAAATTGAATGCAAGAAAAAGCCAATAAAATTAACAAATGGAATAAGATTTCACTCTAGGTTAATTTAATTTAATAGAACAGTTGGATAAGACTGTTATGGTTCTACCTAAAAAAGCTGAAAAGCAAACCTCTAACAGATCAAACTATTTCCAAGTATGTTAACTGCATCCCAAAACAAACCTCAAGAATATTTATATGAATACAAAACATCCAGCACTAGATAAAGGAAAATTTACAATGTTTAGCATTCAATAAAAAATTACCAAGCATGCAAAGAAACAGAAAAATATGACCCACAATAAGAGGAGAAACTAATCAATAGAAATAGACCCCAGAAATGATATGATACAGATAAAAGAATTAGTAGACAAAGACATCAAAATAATTGTTGTAACTACACTTTTCAAAGAAGATAAAGATTGAGCATATTATACAGAGATATGAAAGATTAAAAAAGACCCAAATCCATTGCTGAAGGTGAAAAATACAATGTTTGAGATGAAAAACACATTGAATGGGATTAACAGCAAGTTAGACATTACAACTCAAAATATTAGTGAATTTGAAGACCTAGCAACAGAAAGTATCCAAAAGGAAACACAGAGGAAAAAGGCTGAACAAGAGAACAGTGAGCTGAGGGCCAACCTCAGTCAGTCTAACATACACGTAAGGGAAGTCTGCAGAGGAGGAACAGGGACAGTACAAGAAAACTACAGGCTAACATCACTCAGAAACATAGATGCAAAAATTCTTAGCAAATTAAATCCAACAATATATAAAAAGATTAATACATCATGACCTAGTGAGGTTTATCTCACGAATGAAAGGTTGGCTTGGCATAACATTAAAACTTTAACGTAATTCACCATATTAATGGAGTTAAAAAAAACCAATATGATCATCTCAATACATGCAGAAAAAGCACTAGCTAAAATCTAATGTCTATTCCTGATAAAATCCATCAGCAAACTAGGAATGTAAAGGAACGTCACCTGATAAAGGGCAGCAAAAGCAATAAAAAATGTACAGTTCACATCATACTTGAAAAGCTGCTTTCCTCCTAAAATTGGGAATAAGACACAACAGCCATGTGTCCCTAAGCAATCACTCCACCTCTGTGGAACTGTTACCCCACCTGTAAAAGTTTTTAACAGGGCTTGGCACTACACAAGAGCTAGCAATGATAATGATGATGGAGGAGACTTAGGAGTTGGTCGAAGAGCTAGGGAGAAAACAGAAAAATAAACAACCCAGTAACTTCTCCTTTTTTATTTTCAGAATCAAGCACGCCCCAGGTTCTGGCTCCACTGCTCACCACTGCCCCTTTTGAAGGTTCGGTCAGGCATGTGGAGTGGTAGGACACAAGACATAACCTTCCTATGACAGCCGTGAGACCATGCCTTCCCCTTCCTTCCTTCAACCCTTGGAGTGAAAAGAACAAATGAGGAGAAAGCACTCTATACATACTCATTACATTCCCTGGCCCCTTCCTCATAATTTTAATTCTCCCTACCTTCCCCCACCCTTTTTTCCTTCACCCCCTCTGCCCAGCTCCTTATTCCCACACCACCAACAGTAAAAGCTAGGATTCAGATCTCACGGAGTTCATTTCTACAGTAGGTTCAAGCACTGTATTTCAGGTACTCAATCGTGTTGCACCTAAAAATTTCAATTAAAGAATTCTTAAAGATACAGGAGCCAGAAACTTCAAAAGGCAAGGCTTTGGGGAAATAACTGGAAGCAGCCTGTTGTGAACATGAAATTCCTTTGTAATATGCTTTATAGTCTCCATGATATATCTGGTTTTAATATAAAAATATTTCTTCAAGTCTTTATGTAAAATCAATATTGTAGAAAGATATACCATATCTGTTCTCTGGCTTTGTATATACTACAGAATGAAACAACTTGAGATGTAAAGTGGTGCTTTTCTTTAAGCATGGTTATCCAAGGCTGCTTGGTCCAGCATCACATCAAGAATTGACAAAGCACAGCTATTATTAAAATAAATTCACCTCTCTGGGTTTTTTATTTCTCTTCCTGATGCATAATCTTGTGTCTATATTTCCTAATATCCTAACAGCCTTGATTTAGCTCATATACTCTTTTAAAATTGATACTATGAATCTTGCTTAATCTTTGGCCTATTTTATCTCATGTAAACTTTTTATGGTGGAGGATAACATATACTGAAAAGTACACAAAACATTGTTGAGTGAATTACATAGTAACTGTTATTCAGGTTAAAAATCAAAACAATGTTTCCTTGTGTTGATGCCCAAGCTATCCTTTCCCGCTCCACTAGACTGACTTCAGTAACTATAACTTAGTTTTGGAATTTTATATAAGAGGAAGTATGCCATGTATACTTTTATTTCCTATTTTATAACATTTTGCTTGAATATTCAACCATATAGCTACACTTAGTGCATTTTTGTGGACGTATAGTATTCTGTTGTGTAAACATACCATAATTTGCTTATTCATTCTACTCTTAATGGACATTTAAGTGGCTCTTGCATTTTGGCCATTATAAATAATGCATGTGTGAACATTTTCATACAAGACTCTCAGTGCACATACATGTATTTGTTAGGTGTACACTGGGAAGGGGATTTCTCAGCCATGAGGTCTGTGCTTCTTCAACTTTAGTGGAAAATGCACACACCTGTTCTAGGTGGTGGTGTCCATTTACACGCCCACAGGCAATGAATGAATGCTCCCCTTGCTCCATATCCTTGCCAAAACATTATTAGTCATCGTGGTAGGTGTGTGGTGGTATTGCATTTGGTTTCAATTTCTATTCCCCTGATGACTAGTGA